CTTCTTCGCAACGGGGTACCTTTGCCGTATACTACTGTAGGTATTAACTCGTATCTCGACCACCCCTCCGGCATGGTAATCGCTTACTATCAGACTTATACCATGTTGTTGTAAGTCAATGGAAAATCGTCCAAACAGCACCAGACTTCAGACTATCATTAATGGTCCGGCCCTCAACAGCTCTATGTCAATTATGGGATGTCCTCATATGCCGTTGCCATGGCAACGCGTCCCTCGGCAATAAACCTGGTGTTGTCGTAACTCAATGGAAAATCGTCCAAACGACACCAGACTTCAGACTATCATTAATGGTCCGGCCCTCAACAGCTCTACGCCAATTACGGGATGTCATCATATGCGGTTGCCATGGCGACTGATCCCTCGCCATGAAACACGGTGCTGTCCTAATTCAATGGAAAATCGTCCAAACGGCACCAGACTTCAGATGATTGCTAATGGTCCGGCCCTCAACACCTCAATATGACAATAGTGAGTTTTCCTCAAAAGCTGTTGCCATGGCAACACTTCCCTCGCCGTTAAGCACGATATTGCTATAACTCCTATGTAAATGGTGAAAAAGTGTTCAAATTTCACATGTGTGCTAACCGTCAAGCCCTCGACACATATATGTGTCAGTTTTGAGATTTCGTCAAATTTCGTTGCTATGGAAACATGGTTTCCTCATAACTTCAGTTAACATTCTCCAAACGGCACAAAACTTCACAGGTTTGATAAAGATGCGGCCCTCAACACATCTAAGCATATTATGGGGTGTCATCAAATTCCGTTGCCATGGCGACCGATCACCCGCCATCAAACACAATGTTTGTGTTACTGCTGTAACTCAAAGACATTGTCCGATCGGCCTGAATCTTCCCACGTTTGCCAATGGCCGAGTCCTCGAGACACCTAGACACACACGTCGACGTGCGGACAACAGTCTGCAGAGCGTCGAAGACCCTGCTTGCAGCTTTAATTATTATTATAATTATGATTATTTTTCAAATTAAGCAGTCGAGGCATTTCCCATGAAACGTTAAAAACACAATTTTGTGTGTTGACTGTGAACTTCTTTTTTTATCAACACATTCTGTTTATTATCAGCCACTTATCTTGTGACTCCTTATAATGAAAAGTGTAATGGCAATAGTTACTTTCTCTGAAACATTATTTCATCTAGCACAGTTTTTCTTTCAGTCAGTCTCTGACATTCAAGAGCTGCATTTGAAAAAAAGAATAAAGATAAAATGTAGCCTCACCTTGTTCAGTTTCCTCACCATACTGGCCTCTCCGCAGATTGTGGAGGAACACTGCAGTGTGGAGCAGTCGCGTCGGGCCCAGGCTGAGCCCATCAGCTTGGACAGCTGCCTGAAGGCCTTCACCAGCGAGGAGGAGCTGGGTGAGGACGAGCTCTACTACTGCTCCAAGTGCAAGACGCACCGGCTGGCCACTAAGAAGCTGGACCTCTGGAGGCTGCCGCCCATGCTGGTCAGTGGCTCACTCATACGTCTGGCTCACTTTGAGTAGAACCTTACATGTTTTTTAATATTTACTGCTTGAAAATAGTTCAAGGATGTATGTTCTCTTATCCAGATTGTCCACCTGAAGCGCTTCCAGTTTGTAAATGGCCGTTGGATCAAATCCCAGAAGATTGTCAAGTTCCCGAGGCAGAATTTTGACCCCAGCGCCTTCCTGGCCCCCAGAGACCTGGAGCAGTGCTGCCTTCACTCCCGCAGCCAGAGCGAGGATCTGCTGAGGGTCGGAGAAGACAACCTGTCCTCCATCTCTGCCCCCGCTGGCTTCTGCAACCTCCCCAAGGATACCACAGGTTAAAGACTATTATTTAGTTATGGCAAGCCACTCGTGCACTGAGGCAGCTCATATTTTTAAAGAGACCATTTGTAATGGTGTGTTTGATGACAAAGAGCATGATGGCTTGTGAAACTACGGTAAATGGACAGGCCAATGGAAGTTAGTAGTCGTAAGGGCTCCTTCGACTACAAGCAATGGGATTTTTTCGCCGGATTTTGAAATATTGCAGAAAGTAGGATCTTTGGCCAACACGCATTGATGATACTTACATGTTTTATTCAGCAGGATTACCTCCACATATTAACATCACTTTTATGATTTTTGATGCATAAATGCAATAGCCATAAGTAGAAGTCTAACATAATGCTATAAACAAACTACATCACCGTCACATGACTTAAAATCAACACAAAATCTCCTCAGCTTGTATTAATCACAGACCTTAATTCAGGAATCCAACCCATAACTCATTCAAAAACTAGCTAAAAGTTAGGCTATAAACAAACTACATGACTGTTTAGAACTTTACGTCACCATCGCTAAGCTAAAGGCAGCTAATGTTCCACGTGCAGACATGGAGTGGGCAAAATCAGCCACTTGTTAACAACCACCCTATTCAAGACACATAGAAGCTTCAGATATTCACCGGTGGGGTATTTACTGGCGTTTCTTTATGTCATAGAAACAAACGTTTAAATCGTGTAAGCTTGTATTGAATCTAACCAAAAATCCTTCAAAGAAACCATTGACTTTGAGACAAGGAAGCTTGAAGTACCAAAACGCAAATTAATTAGCGGGTTCAGTACTCATTCCTGGATGAGCAGAGCGGAGGCCTAACAGCAGAGGAAGTGTATTTAATTATATGTTTTCCCAACAGCCTCTCCCGCCTCAAGCAGGAAGTCGGCACCTTCTCTCAGCCGGACCAGCAGCCCCTCTGGCAGCCCAAAGAGCGGGGGCCGCAGGCCAGGCCGACTACGCCTGCCCCAGCTGGGCAGCCGGCACCGCCTCTCCAACAGCAAAGAGAGCCTGGATGGAGCCGCTAATCCTGAGGCAGAGCATTCAGAGACTGAGGGGAGCACAGCAGGTCTTCCAGGTTTAGGAGATGTGATCGCGTCGGACGCATCATGCGGTACTGAGGCGTCCAGCAGCCACTGTGACGTAGTCCTGATGAACGGAGAGGGTAACGGGCTGGGCTCAGACTGCAGCACGGAGAGCAGCATGGACCCTGACAACTCCCTGCTCCAGCACAGAGACAACATTTGTCTGGATGCCATCTACAACCTCTATGCAATATCTGTAAGAATCCCACATCAACAGTATCAAAGAGTATTGTTAGCATCGCTCAATAAGCTTTTTCTTATAATGCATTTCTCCTTTCTCTCGTCAGTGCCATTCAGGAATCATGGGAGGAGGCCACTATGTGACATATGCCAAAAATCCCAAAGATAAATGGTACTGTTACAATGACAGCAGCTGTAAGGTAAGACACTGTATATTCTGTTCCCACAACTAATAGCATACTATTCATTGATGTATTTTAACTATTGCCATGATTACCGGGCCAAACATATAGTACAACATCCACAGTCAGTGCCTATGAAGAGACTTTTTGTTTTGTTTTGTACTATTTTGTAATTAGAGGAATTTCAGTGTTTAACCCCCACCCACAAGCTGGCATTTCAGGGATATTCCACAGACTTTAGCTCCTTTAAGGCAGGGTAGCAAATTGTCAGGATGTCACAAGAACAAATACTTCGGTACCTTAGGTACCAGGGACTCGAGACTAAGTAAAACTAAGTATTGCGTTAAATTATAATATTGTGAAATAATTGTTTCTTGGTGAAAGATTTAGAAAAAATACAGTTATTGAGATGGAGACATTTTCACAGCAATATGAAATAGATATTAGGGAGGGAATTGTGGAATAGCAATGGTATTGCTATTGACCACAAAATGTCTGGTACCGTGACTTTTGTAAGTCAATATCATAGCAATTTCTTTTTTCAAACCGATAGACAGAATAAAGAGTTTTAAAATGTAAACTAAATTTTTTTGCAAACTGAATATAAGGAGCATGTGGAAATTCTTGACTTTGGAGGCATCTAGTGGTGGATGCACACAACACCACATCTAAAATATGCCTGTAGGGTTTAACAGAATTGTCAAAGGGGTTGTTACAACAGTTAAATCAACCTAATCACTCACATTCTTTCTGTGTTCCCTACAGGAAGTGCACTCTGAGGAGATCGACACCGACTCGGCCTACATCCTCTTCTACGAGCAGCAGGGGGTCGACTACTCCCAGTTCCTGCCAAAGATCGATGGCAAGAAGATGGCCGACACCAGTAGCATGGATGAAGACTTTGAGTCCGACTACAAGAAATACTGTGTGCTCCAGTGACCGCACCTCGTCTTCCATCATCCGGCACTACACCCGCTCTTCGCTCCCGCCTGCAGTCGTTCTGAAGAATTCTCTCAAACTGCTAATGACTGGAGTCGGATGTCCTGTGCTCTCTGTCTTTAGAGATGCGCCTCAGCACTTTCTACACTTGATCGCATACATATTTCAGTGCAAAGGTTTGTCAAGACAACAGTGGAGCCCTGGCGAAAGCACTAAAACTGTCGCACTTTGCTGAGCCCGACAAAACAAACCCCCCCGCCCCTTCTCCTCAACCCCCGCCAGAACATACATGTAACACATACTTGCATACTAACACATCTCTGAATGTTTGCCAGTATGGCCAAGTCATGAAGTGACGTTGCTTTGTCATTGTGCATATTTCGCTGATGTCAGAATGAAAAAAAAAAAACACCAGGGTTCCACATGTGATCTGAGCCTAGATATCTGACCAGTAGAAGGAAAACAATGAAGTGTAAGTGCAAAGCCAATGATTGGATACAGTTTAAATGCCAAAATGTACGGTGGCTGACACATGCAAACGCGCTACATCAGCACTTTCAAAAACAATGTAAAGATCAGAACACAAATGTGCCAAAACACATGCAGATGAAGGAACATCTTCACCAACTTGACCCAACATGCGCAGCGTTTACTTATAGCGGTCGTAAACGAAACATTACAAATAAAAAAAAGATAAAAACGGAAATTGGGACACTAAAAAGTGATGCACACAGCTGGGACCTTAGCGCTTGTGGACGTTCGGATTAAAGTTGGTCAACAATCACTGTCACTGGAAACTTACCTAAAATGAAGGTTTTGTTGGCATATTTTATCAATGTGATCACATGATTCCTTCTGATATTATTTGGTAATAATATAATTGGGTAGCTAGCTAGCGTAGCAAACCTAGTCATTTCAAGGATACTGACGCGACACTTAAAAGGATCAAACAGGCTACCTATGCCAACAGAGCCAACTTTATAATGTCGGAACATCAACAAGCACTCCCTCCCAACTGTGTGCATCACTTTTTAGTGTCCCCGTTTCCGTTGCGCTTTGGGTTTCATTTTTTTTAATTTTCAGCGTTTCGATTATGCAACGATTGTAGTAAACGCTGCGCTTGTGTTTTGAAGTTGGCATAGATGCTTCCTCATTTGCATGTGTTTTGGCACATTTGTGTTTTTTTATTTGTATCGTCTTTGAAACTGCAGCCCCCTATCCTAATGGATACAGCCACCGTACAAGTGTAAACAGGGCCAAGAGTTTAAAAAAAACGGTGTCAAATTTGATGCCGCTGTTCAACATGATGTTGATGTGATACTATGACAAGCTTTTAAAAAGTTTCAAAGGTTTTATTTGCAAAAATGTCACTAGGGTAAGTCACATGCTACCTCAACGCTTCCTGCAGTCTGTCAGCCAACTGTACCCTAAAACGTCTGTGACAGTATTAATTGTAATACACAAAATGCAACTTTACAGTCATGGTACACACATTTCAGCTCCCCCTCTTCTAGGACACTCACATGTCCTGATGCGAACATAAAATTAGGCATTTTTGCCAAATTGTGTTCCATTCCACAGCTGCCAAATATCAGTGGTGATTTGTGCAATGTTGATCTGTTTGTCCCAATATCGTCTACTCTTGAAGTATCACTCTGGGTTTATTTAGGACAGGTGCCATGAATTCAAAATAGACACACTTAAAGATACAGTATATGTTTAATTTTTTCTGCAAATACGTTGTTTTATAAAATATTTATTTTATTGTTTTTTTTTTTATCTTAAGGCAGGCTTCAGTAGCTACTTCAGGTTAGGAATGGATATTTGTCTCAAAGCTACACAAGGCTGGTCTTAACAGCGCTCTCGCAACATGAGCTTTCCACCTGCTGCCATTCTCAACTGTTGACACTCATCTCGTATACTAATGTCCATATACCCTCCAGTAAGAAGCCAGAATATTTGGGGCATTGGGAATCAATTGATTGTACTTACAAAAGGATTTAAAGATTTTATTCAACTTAAAATGCTACTCCACTGGTTTAGCATAGCACTCCTACAACATAGGCCAGTATAAAAAAAGGATACAAATGTATAGTTCAGAACATCTTATTTTTTATCCCACATATTACATTTTCTTGTCCATACTTGGCACCTACATTACCCACAGTGCAACTCAACCATCAAGAGTTTGGTCGATCCCACTTCTTTTTAACTTCACACCCCTAGATTTTTTCCATTTTCAGACTTGCAGTCTTTAACTCCAACAAACACAAGTAATATCACATGAGGGCATTTATCATATCACATATGTAGAGGTTCTCGCCGATACCTGGCAGCAGACTTTGATGGGTGAACTCAATTTTCGTTTAATGCCAGAATGCCAGAAGTCTGCTATTCACCCTCTCTGGTGGACTCGTTCACCTCTTTTTTGTGCTTATTTGCTCCCGTAACCGCGCCAACTGTCATATCAGTATCCGGAAGTACAAGTGAAAACTACAAAGGTCACCAAAAAAAATAATTTTCATGCTTCTCACCCATATGAGAAATATTGGTGTGCAGTTAATGCACCTGCCCCTTTGTGGTAAGCAAAATATCCATAAAACTTCTCTAAAATCTGGATTACCATCTAGCTGAAGTGGGCCAACTCTATCATTGCCCCAAAGCCAATTGGATATATTTCCAATGTTTTCAGTGCACCTTTAAAACCTTCCTTCATACCAAACATTAAGGCCCTGCTGTGTTGGGGCCTTGTGTCAAAATGTAGTTATTGTGCTTTTAGTATTCTACATCTACCATATCGAACTCGTAATAGACAATGAAAACGAAGGGAGGTGCCCACTGCCCATCTTTGCCCAGACAAGGTAGACAAATAACAGCCAATGATTTCCTGTGAAAGAAGTGAGATAGAACATTGGAACATTTCTAGAAAGGGTGACATCATTGGATACTAATTACATGGGACATAGACACAGTGTTTAATTGATGCATGGCAAGCATGTATTTCAAATGCAGTTGATTTCATTTTTTATTTCACTGCCATCGGATGCTTTCAGTTTGATGTGCATTTATTCTTCAAAAGAAATATGGCCTGTGGAACCTGTTGAGAGCTGGTCAGATCTGTAAAAACTTCCCTCAACAATGGACCCAACATGAAAATTACGTTTTACGTCTAAATACTGGTTTCAATTACGTTAAAATTCAGTCCCTTCTTTTTATCTGAAGCTTTGGCTTCTTAATGTGACTGTGGAGGTTGATTTGAAAGGTTTTGCAGTGTTGACTCACGGTGGAGCTTTGTGTCTGGTGTGTAGCAGCGAGTGGAGCTCCTCCTGAGCTGGGCTCGGTCTAATCACTGTGAACAGACAGCGGCGGTCAGTCAGCGGTTCCCCACTTTGTCTTCGAGGTCACAGGAGATGATTCTGTGTTTTTAGCTGCTGTATTTATGATGAGAAGGCGTCTTTTATGGATGTGTTTTGGAGAGATATATGTCACTGAATTAAACTTTATTTTCCTTTGCCAAGTACGTTTGTTGAACAAATGGAAATGTACAGATGATTGCTATTTATGTATGCTTGCTCAGCTCTTTTTGTCCTCTACCCACCTGCCTTTGCACCGAGCTGTAGATGATGTCCAGTTTGTGTCGGTGTTTTAAACGTCATCACATGGCTCAAAGGGAAAACTTTCCTGAGGATTAGTCTCTTGAGAACCCTGTTTTTAATGTTCGCTTGATTTAAAGGTGCAATAGCTGTCAAGTTTTTTTGTGGCTGTGAACATCCCCTTAAACTTGTGTGATGCTATAATGACCAAACCCGTAGCCTAAACTGTATTATCTCAAATAAAACTTAAGTTCATTTCAGCAACAGCATTCTGTCATCCAGGAACTAAAATAATTTCTGCCCAACGGAGCTCAACTTTGACATTTAAATTGGGTAAACACCAATTTTGCTAACTACAGAAATAATATCTTAAGCCCTTCCCCATCCCCAAAAGCCCCGCCCATCTCGCCCCGCCCCCCAGAAGGCAGTGCAATCTACTACTGAGCTGTCTGTCAGTGTCTGTAGCCTCTTTTTATTTAAGTTCACTTTTGTTGGATTTGAACAACACGTGTTAATTTAAATAACTTTTTTGTAAGGTGTTTGTTGAAAGAAAGTGACGTTGCACTGACATGAAAACGTGTACATAAAAAAATGTGTTTTGTAAATAAGCCAATGAAAACTATGTATTTGAATATGAACTGTACAAAATACTGTACTTGTAGTTGTATATGGAGTGATACTGTTCATCTGTAACAAAATACCCAAGCAACAAATTAAATTCTGCAGAGGAAACGATGATGGCTAAATGAAATGTGTTTTTATTTGTGTGTGTGTCCAAAAGCAGATTTAGCTTTTAAAGGAGGCAGGTTCAATATTTTATGTTCCTCACCCGATTCGTACTTGTAATTTGTTCTATCTATAGCCAATCAGATGTCTCCTCAATTCTAAGCCAATCACATGAGCACGCCCCCGGGTAGATTTATTGCGTTCATGACGTAGCGCTTCATGTACGCATTTTGCGCAGTCGGGAGCTGACAGGTCCATGGAGCCTGCCTGCAGGCGCTAATCTCAGGAGACCTCCACTCTCAGTACATTGCCACTTTCCGAACAGGAAATGCACGCAAATACAAGCCTTTATATTATTAAGGTACAGCGCCACTTTCCGAACCATTGATGAATGCTTGTGTGTACACAAAAACGGCAGGCAAAACCGTTTTAAATGTGTGTTTCATGTATGGCGAATACAGCTACTTTATTTATGTCTGTATGAAGTTGTTGTGAGTGTGGAGGGAGCAGCTACAGGTTAGCTTAGCCTAATCGATCAGTGCACTACGAAGCCAGTGCTAGACAGTGAACTGTCAACGGTGGGAGCCCCGCCGGTCATTATCGGCTGATATTCACTCTAAATAGTTTGATCGGTGCTCTCTATAAAGGCCGATCAGGAGAGCTGAATCTGATTGATATGGACATAAACGCAAGGAACGCGAGAGAGAGAGAGATCAGATCAGCTGCTGAGTCTGACGGAGACACGCAGCTCTGCATGATCACCTGAAGCTCAGCCCTCTGTTTAGCGAGCTGAATACGCAAAATGCGTATATGAAGTGTCATGAACGCAATAAATCATACCCTCGTGGGGGCGCGCTCATGTGGTTGGCTTAGAATGAAGGAGACATCTGATTGGCTATAGATAGAAAAAATTACAAGTACGAATCGGGTGACCGTCAGGGGAGTCTCAAAAAACCCACACACGAATACACAGCGATCCATGCACAGAAAAAGGGTTGTGTTTGCAGGTTCAG